GGGGAACTACCGAGCATTGCTGCCAACCCACACTTCTCATTTGGGGTTGTGAGGGAAGCTCTTTCAGAACTTCAGGAACTGCTGGAGGACATTTGGAAAGGGGAATCCCTCAAGATCTCCAGGAGAGGTTGGTGGAGAAACTCTTTCCAGGCGCTCTGTGGAGCGGCTGATCTCACTCTGTTCCCAGTTCCGTGTTTCACAGCCCCTCACTCTACAGATCCAGTCTGAGTGCAAGCGTTTTTTTTACCTGGCTATCGTCACCAAGCCTTTGGCTTCTTGTCAGTCCAGCCTCCCTTATGCAGAGCTGTGAAGGTCTTGATGTTCCTACAGATTTTAATTTGTATTGATCGGGACTCTATTCTTTGGGAATTATCCATCCATCCACCCATCAATTCATCCACTCATCAGTCCAAATACCCACCCATTAATCCTCCCATCCACTCATCCATCCACCCATCAACTCATCAATTAATCAGTTCATCCACTCATCAGTCCACCCATTAACTCATTCATTTATTTATTTCATCCACTCATCAGTCCACCCATCAGCTCATCAATTAATCAATTCATCAGTCCACCCATCAACTCAATCATCAATCCATCTGCCATTAATCCACCTACCCCCTCATCAATCCAACCAAATATCCACTCGATCCATCCATCCACCCAGTCAATCACTTCATCCACCCATCCATACAACCAACAGCTCATCAATTCATCCACCCACCCATCCACTCTTCAATCCGACCATCAGTCAATCAACTTATCCACCAATCACTTCACCCACCCATCGGTGCATCATCAGAAAGCTGCTCCGTGCAGACGAGGGTCATGGCCACACAGAGGTGACCTGTGACCTGTGGCCCGCAAGGCTCTGCTCAGCTTCTCTCTCCGTCTCCCTAGTGAACGAGGTTCCTGTCTACAGTCTGAAGACCCCAGGGCCCAGGCTCAGAGCGGAGATTCCCCAGCGTGAGTCTGTTTTCACAGGGAAGAGACGAGCACACAGGCGCACACTCACTGCAGCACGGTCACACAACGCCTTTCAGTTCACTTGTGACCACAGGAGCAGGCCGAGGAATGGCTCTGCGGGGGTTCGAGTGATCTGAATGCCAAGGGTCGTCCACGCTGTAGGAGCTCTTAGAATCAACCAGCCAGACGGCCTCAATGTGTAACGGACACGGACTGGAATC